TGGGTGGGGGAGTGATAAATGATGCACATTTGTATTTGTCTATTTGTTTAATCATCTATCATAGCCATTTGGTCTGGGTGATTTCTCATGTTGTGTCTCATTTAATTCTTTCCACCCTAAAAAATATTTAGAATTTACAAACCTAATTCTGAGGTGTGTCTCGTCTAGTTGCTGAAAAGGTGCTTTCTAGGAAGGAAAGATTTTTAACCTCCTGAAGAAACGAAACCACCTGTTAATTGACCAACATTTTGTTTGTAAGTCTCACAGTCAAACATGTGACTTCCAACAAGCTAAATAAGCTTCCCCTCGAAACAACTATGCCCAATTCACTGTTTGATTTCACCATCAAATAGAATTTCTTGAAATTTAGTTGTTTCAAATTGACTTAAGTGGGTTTCAGATGTTTTTGTGTTCTATGGAGTTAACTATTAAGATAAAATTACCTATCAACTTTTTAGGGGCCTATTATATTTGTGGTGGTTTACTTACACTTGAGCCAGAAGAGCAGAGAATTCACTAGCACATGGACAAATGTGCTTAAGATGTAATTTTGTTCTAGTGCTTCAATGCATAATTTCATCCTAAAACATAAGACGGGGAAGGTCACTATTTTATATAAAGCTTATATTCCAGAATATTTATAGCTGAACATCTTAGAATTTCTGAATTTCTAAACTCTGAAAAGTTCAAAGAATAATGATATATTCAGAGTCCTCCATAGTTTGTGATGTAAATCTTGCACCAAAATATATAGAAAGAGCAAGAGATTACAAAATCTGTTGTTTCCAACCTTCAGCAAGTTTCCGCTTTTCTGTTTATCTTAGGGTGCACTCATGTTTATATAGGACAGGAATGGATAGTGAGGAGTGGAATGCAATCCCATTTTGCTCACTCCTGTCCATAACCCTGGTAGCCATAGAGGGGGGCTGTTGAAGGTTGTGGTGGGTCTCAAAGTTCATAAGGGGAGTTTGGAAGAGGTCTGTGTGGAAAATTCTTGAGGTTGGGCTGCCCAATCTGTAGGGCCCTTCAATGAAGGGCTCCAGTCGAAAAAGCCAGGACCTTTGTCATATTGTACCAGAAATATATTTGAAATTCTGCATGAGTTTTTGGAAGGTTTCTGCCATCATCACCATTCATTTTGTATTCATAGTTGATATAAAATAGAAAATGGGTGATTTCTTTCCTAATTCTGAATATTTTTAATGCTGGTCAAGTTAACAATAATAAGAGTTGTGATTTCTTAAATAGTACACAATATTATGTAAGTAGTATACAAGTTAAATATTCTACAAGTAAATCTCCTCTAAACATACAATGTGTAAACATCGAGCCAAAAAGAATTCAATTACCCAAGTTAAAGGTTATCATTTCACACCCATCAAAGGAAAATCTCACTGGAAGTTCCCTCCATTTATAACAATAGGTGCTGATTTTTGTAGAAGTGTATATAGCTTTTTGTTAGAAATACTGCATTATAATTATTTTTGCTTAAATAGCCCATTTGCTTTAGAAAAGATTCAAGTACTAAAGAAAGCTTTAAGACTTATCCACAAGGTTTCTTTCTTTTAAGAATCTAAAGATATTAATCAACTGTCCTCTTATTTGGGTTAGTTCCAAAGAGAAATCTGCTCTCAACCTTGTCTTCTGATTCACCTGTACGTAATGTATCTTTCTCTGGTTTGTTTTAGGAATTTTCTTTTCATCATTGGTGCTGAATGTTTCATTTCTATGTGCCTTGGTTTAGTTTTCTTTATATACTTATGTTTGAGGTTTATTGAGCTTCTTGAAATAGTTTTATTTGAATATTTTTTCAACTGTTTCCACTCCTTTTTAGAACTTTTAAATCCCCTATGTATGACTACTTGGAGTTGGTTGTCCCAAAGTTCACTGATACTCTTAATTTTTTTCTTTTTTTAATATATGTTTTATTTGATTTCACTTATATTGTTATGTCTTCCATTTCACTAAACTTTTTTCTGCAATAACTAAAATGCTATTAATTTCATGCAGTATAAATTTTACCTGTGATAATGACAGTTTTTACCTTGAGAAGTTCAACGTGGATATTTTCCAATATCTTACAATATTAAATCTCCTGTAACTTCTTGTGAACATATGGACAATAAGCGTAGCAAGTGTTTTAATGGCCTTGTCTACTTATTCTAACATCTGTATCAGTTCTGGGTTGGTTTCACTTGATTGACTGTTCTCTGTGCTGTGGGTCATATTTTCCTGCTTCTTTGCAGGCCTGATATTTGTTAGTATGTACCAGATACTGTGAAGTTTACCTCGTGGGTACTAAATATTCAGCTAAATATTCTTAAGCTTAGGTCTGGGACACAGGTGTGTAACTTAGGAACAGTTTAATCCTTTCAGGTCTTGCTTCCAAGCTTTCCCTACTCTAGGCCTGGCGAGTACTGAGTATTTTACACTAAAAGTGAACGATCAATACTTTTATATGATTCTTTCTCCTATATTTGGTATTTTCTTACGTGTGTAATCTGATCAGTAATCAGTTGAATTCTTAAGGACCCTCGAGTTCTCTGTCCATGTGACTCTCTCCTGTCTTCTGCTTTTTGAACTTTAGTTCACTCAATCTTTGTAGAACTTAGCTCTATTCCTTCAATTTAGGGAGCATGTCAAGTTCTGCCTGGGTCCCTCTCTTTACACCCCAGTCTGCAAACTCTTTCCAGGCATAAATTGGTAATTAAAGGACTCATGTTTTCTTCTCTTGCCTCTCAGGGATTGCTGTCTATTACCTGATGCCCACTGTCTTGCAAACCATTTGTCTGCATACATTGTCCAGTTTATTAGTTTGTTTCAGGTGGGGAAAATAAGCCTATTACTCCAGCTTGCAAACACTAGATAAAAGACATTGTTTTACCAAATCTTCGCTCAGATTTTTTCCATCTGTCAGGATTCAGCTATTGAAAACCTACATCCTCAGATGTTTAGCCTTTCATTTCACTTGAGACTAATTAATGCGTATGTAATTCAGGACTTTAAACTCTACAAAGCTATGCTTCTTTCTTTTTACTTTGGCCTCAGGGTCAAGTAGTTGGAATTCTACCTGGGTAGCCCAACTCTAAGGCCATGTCTCAACTAGCTCTCTTTGCTTGGACACAGGACAGGTAAGGCCGGTGGAGGTCAGTTCTATAGGGACATGAGATGCTGCTGCCCTTGTTAGCAGATCTGTGCTTGAAGGCTAGATCTTGACTTCCTAAGCAGAGTCTGGTTGGTTGGTTTTCTTTGAACTCTTCTGCAGCAGCTAGTTCTTCAAACACAGGAAAATTCTTTACTTCTCACAAAGGTACCAGATATCCAAGTATTATATCTACCAATAATCAGCTTTTTCCTTTCCAGCCTCTCCCCAGGGCCACACTCACTCTTTTCTCCCAAGATCAGTAACATTTCTTAGTCTGCTTCTTGTGTTATAAGACCATTCTTTATCTCACTTCCTCAGATATTTCTTATTTTACAGTGTGTCGTTGGAAGCATTTGTCATTTAAAAAGAGGGAGGAATCCTATCATTCAATCTTTAGCAGGCTGAGCCTCTAGTAGCCACAATTTCCCTGCCCCAAATATTATAACATAATCTTTACCATTTTGGGGGAAGAGCTTGAGAAAGATAGGTATTATTTCTCTTTGAAGGTTTGGTAGAACTTATTAATAAAACTGTCTGTCCCAGGTGTTTGTTTGCTGGATAGATTTTTTGATTATTGTTTTAATTTATTTGCTTGTAATTGGAATGCTCAGGTTTTCTATTTCTTCTGGATTCCCACTTGGAAAGTGCCATGCTTCTAGGATTTTGCCCATTTTTTCCAGATCTTCCAATTTATAGGCACAAAGATGTTCATAATTCATCTCTTATTTTTCGCTGAATTTCTAAGTTGTCTGCTATAATTTTACTTCCTCCATTGCTGATTCTGTTTGAGTTTTCTCCCATTTTTCTTGATGGGCCCAGCTGAGTTTGTATATATTTTTTCCCAAAGAACAAATCTTTCATTTCATCAATCTTTTGGACTGTTCAATTTTTATTTCATGCATTTCTTCTCTAATTTTTATTATTTCCCTTTTTCTGACTTTGGCTTTGCTTCTTTTTCTAGAAGAAGACAAGAGATAAGATTATTTATCTTGCATTCTTTCTCATTTCTTGATGTGGGCCTTTATTGCTACTATTCCCTGCTTAGAACTAACTGCTTTTGCTGCATCCCAGACCCTCTGTAGATTGTATCTTCCTCTGTAGATTGTATCTTCATGTTCTTGTCTCCAGGTATTTTTTAATTTCTTCTTTAATCCCTCATTAACCCAGTAGTCTTACAGAAATGTGTTGTTCGGCTTCTAAATATTAGAGGTTTGGAATTTTTTTCTCAGTGTTGGTGATCAGAATCCCAAGATCATGGCAGCAGATTCAGAGTCTGGTGACAGCACATTACCTAGTTCAAAGACAGCTGTGTTCTCACATGGCGGGAGGGGTGAGGGAGCTCACTGGAGTGCCTTTTCGAAGCACAATAAACCCACTCACAAGAGCTCTGTTCTCATGACCTCATAACTTACAAAAGACTCCGTCTCCTAATACCATCATTTTGGGGGTTAGGTTTGCAGCATATGAATTTTGGAAATCTATGAACATCCACATTTACAATCTCTCACAAAAATGCTGGTGTTTTATTTTGTTAGTATGACACTTAAGGCAGGTGTGGTTCCATCTAAGTGTTTTCTCCTTAATAAAGTCAGATCTCACAATCATATCGTCACCCAGTTCTAATAGACATTACTCCTTTTCCTTTGTTTTGCATATTACACAACATACAATTTTACATGAACCTTCTTTCAAATGAGGGAAAAAATATCTTGGCTTTCCTCATTACTTCATATCTCCATGGGGTGGGCCTTTCCTGGGCATCTTCGGCAGGTCACACGTGTAGTGGGTTTGATCTCAGGCCCACTGGCAGCTATAGCAACTCACTGACCGCCACCCTCTTTACTTCTTTCCACAGGTACTGTGGTGAACAGAGCAAACAGCTGCCAGTCTGACAGCAGCGGGTTCCTGGAGGAGCTGCCAGAGCCACTGCCCCTGCAGGTAGAGGCCACCGAGTATTGAAATAGGAGTCAAAGGAAAGATAAGTTGCAAGTGAACCACTGCAACATGCCAACAAAGCCTAAAAGACACAGGCCAGAGGCATTCAAGGGGCCAAGGATGAGGGACTCATCCTGTACAAGCTGCCAAAAAGTTCAGCGTTCCTTCTTTTATCACTTTATTTTGATTTTTCTAAAGAAGGAAGCATAGCATCAGAGAAAGTCCTAGGAAAAGTCATAACTGATGTAAAGCAGAGTTGTCTTGTGGCTCCTAAATCAATGGAAATGATAAGAAAAAGGTTTAAAATGTAGTGCCTCCCCACGTCTTGACCCATATGCCTTTATCCTGGTTTCTCCCATAGATGCCTTCCTTGCCAAGCAGTCAGCAGCATGCAGAGGGTGGGTGCCCAGCACGAGAGCATCAGAGCCCCAGCCTACGGTCCTCCCAGGACTGCCAGCCAGAGTCAGACGAGTCTGATTCCAAGAGCATGGTGAGCACATCTTTCTCAAGCCAAGATTGGAGTGCCTTGGAAGAAAAGGGCTCAACGTCTGTGGTGGAGAAAGGGTCTCAGTTGGAGGCCATGGAGGACTCAGAAGAACTGTTGACCCCAGATAAGGCCGTGCACAAAACCACCGCAGGAGAATGTCCAAACACAGATGGCCGCCTGCAGCAGCACCCGCTGAGATCCCAAACTGAAGCTGAAGTCATTGCAGGCACAGTTACTGCCAAGAGCACTTGCCCTCTGGAGTTGATGGCGAGCCACATTGCAGAAGTGAAGGATGGGCTTATGAGGCCTGTGGGAGCAGGGGATGTGTGTGAACACAGCCACCACAGGGGGTCTCCGGGGTCACTTGGAAATGATCACGCTGAAGAGAAGTGTCCTCATGTTGACACTGAGGTACCAAGAGCAGTGGCAAGCAGTCAACCCTGTCCCGATGTGGACAACACTTTAACCACCCAAGAAAGGCCACCACAGCAAGTCTCCAAGGGCAGTGAAGTCATGCCCTGTACAGGCAACCTTATGCAAGTATCTGAAAAGTCCATTCCCCACTTAAGGTCCTCCCAGGACTTAGATAAGCTGGTGGAAGTTATTTCTCAAGAGAAACCAAGAAGCAGTGCTGTGGTTCCAGTCCCACCAAGGTCAGCATCGGGGGTGGGAAGCCCTCCTCCCAGTGCTGACACAAGTACTGGCAGCTCCAAATCCGTGACAACCCAGATGTCCTCCAATCTGGCCTCAGCTGCCCAGAGTGCTATGGCCTTGGGGACTGATTCAAGAGGAAGCACTTCAGAATGCACTGAGTGTGACCCTGTGACCGCCACAGGGCCAGGGCTGGGGAGAGAAATAAAACAGTTCAACGATGCTTCTGTTCAGACTTATCAATGTGAACACAGGCCCTGGCATTGCTGTTTGGCTCCAAGCAACAAGGCCTTGGCACACACAGCCCAGCCCCTCACCAAATGCAGCTTGCTAGACACAGGTTTCCCCACTCTCCCTGCAGGGAGCCTCTGCCACTCTGGACCTGCCCTCTGCTGTCATCGCCCTGCGTGCTGCCCCTCAGCGAGGCAACAGCCCAGCCCTGTGCCCTCAGCCTGCAAACATCATCATCACCTACACGCCCAGGTCACCAAGGTGCTAGAAATCCTTCAGGAAACCGTAGTGAGCGAGCTGTGCTCTGTGAGTATGCACTTCTCTCTTCCCAGCAAGCACTCTCCGGCTCTCTCCGCTTCACATCATGAATGATGCTTATAGAGTGCTTTTTTGTTGGTTAGCATACAGTCCCAAAATGTTTTCTTAATTGATACCTTCAGTCACCTTGTGAAGTAAGGAAGCAAAGTTTGATTAGAAATCCCCATTTACAGCCCTCCCTGGTGGCGCGATGGGTTAAAGTGCAGCAGGCTACAGCTGCTTCAGTGAGAGTGTTACAGGGCACCCCAATGTGAATTGGGTTGCGGAGTCCATGAAACCTGTACCTGCCAGCCCTGAAGGTGGCCCACATGGCGCGGCAGACCTCTCCTGATCCGCCCGCTGCTCCCTTCAGCGGTGTACTTTGTCACTTTGCCTGTTCTGCTCCCCACTCTGACTCTGGTGAATCCTCTCACTCCACTGCACATTTGGCCTGTACCCCAGTTCTGTATGCATAAATAAATAAATCTTAAAAAAAAAGAAAGCCCCATTTTCCAGAGAGATAGATAATAACAAGTCTATGGGAAGGGTTATAAACATTAGTGAGTCTGTGCCTTATCTCCAGTTCACTCTACCTAAAATGGTTCATCTTAAATTCACTAAGCCTCATCCACTGTTCTTACACCACACACTGAATCTTTGAGTTTACTTCCTATTTTAAAAAAGAGGGACACTACTCATGCCACTTAGGGGTGTCTTAGGATTAAACGAAAGGATGCTTTAGAAAACTTGGCACACTTAGGCACTAAACATGGTGCCTGGCATGAAGAGCTGTACGCAAGGCTATGTGTTTATTCTTTTTTGCAAATAAAGGATTCACGAGAGACAGAGTGGGGGGGCAGAACAGGTTGATTGACAAAGTACACTGCTGAGGGGAGCAGCGGGTGGGTCAGGAGAGGTCTGCTGCACCATGCAGGTCACCCCCTGGCCAAGGATTGAACTCTGGCTGCAGTGGCAGCAGATAGCTTCATAGTGTTGTGCTTTAACCCCTTGCACCACCAGAGGGCTCTATTGAGTTCTTAAACTAGAGTTTCTAAGGTTAAATAGGATAACCTTTGGTTGACTTTTGCTAAGCACCTGTAAAAATGAATATTGGACTTAAAACTGAATGGCCACGCAGTTTTTCAGACCCTAATAAATCAACATGTATATAATGAGTTTGCCCAGGGCCCCTCTTCAGGGAGTCTCAGGATGAGAAGACCCAGGCGACAAGGCTAGCCACCAATTAAAAAGTTAAGAACATCACACATGAAACCACAGATAGAGATGAAGTTTTTCATGTGCACCACATCCACCCTGGATCAGGTGCAGAAGGGAGTGACTTGCATGGAGAGCAGAACTCTCCCCATCCTGCCTACCTAGTGTCAAGAGAAGGTCTTAGACCCGTTGAGCTCCAGTTGTGTAGAAAGATCTGATTGCTGAAAGTAGATCTCCTTCCTAATTTTCAGTTAGATTCTATCAGCACTTTTGCCGAAGATACAGGAGTTGGCTAAGAGACAGTGATAATAAATCAATGCAAAGGGACCAGGGTGGCTGCATTATGCACAGTAGCTGCTGTCACCCTGCTTACTGACTTGGGTCAGCAGAGCAGACCAGATACTGTATTGAGTGTAAGCCAACCCTTATATTGGAAAGCAGTTCAAAGCAATCCCATATATGTGTGTGCATGTTTGTGTGTGTGTGTATAAATTTTTAATAAAGCTGTTCTAGTGCTGAAATGTATATTTAGTGTTTCAAAATGACCAGGAGATGGCAGTGTTTCAGAATCTTCCATATCACACCCTCATCGAGTGTGAACAAACTACCTGATTCTTAAATCCCAGTCCTTGTAACTTCCCATCACATCATGCTGCCCCCAAATAATTAAGTGAAGCATAAAATTCAATGTTGATGATGTTCAGCCTACGTAAGCACCATAGTTTCATGACCCTGGCCTCAGTCTCCCTACAACTTGGTGACCTCATAGGACTCTACTGAGAAAACTCCCAGGAAATAATGCTTCAGTATGCCCAGGCACAAGCCGTCCCGGCTTTAAACCAGTTAGAACAAAGAAGAAATGACAAATAGGAAAAACAAAAATGAAGCACAGGCTTGAATTTGAAACATGATGACTGCCTTTTTTTAATCCAAAAAGTTGGCCAACATTCTATGTACAAACATTTCTTGATAGAAGAAGCCCTTCACAGTTTCTAAGATCTTTTCTGGCTTTAAGAGTTAAAATTGTAGTTATATTTTAAGCACCTTTGCACATATCAGTGATGTTTCAAATATTCTGCTTAACTGGTTCAAATGCATTCACCAACAAACAAAAGTAACTGGAGAGTTTTGCTCTACCAAATACCTTATTTGCTATAAAAACAGGAGGATTGACTCAAAACCAAACCTTCAAAGAAAAGTGAAGAGGTTTTTTTTTTTTTTTAAGATTTATTTATTTATTCATACAGAACTGGGGTAGGTCAGAGATGCGGAGGGTGAAAGGATTCACCAGGGACAGAATAGGGAGCAGAACAGGCAGAACAATGAAGTACACTGTTGAGGGGAGTAGCAGATGTGTCAGGAGAGGTCTGCCCCACCATGTGGTCACCTCTGGGCAGGCGGGCATCAAACTCATGCAGGAGTGGCTTAAGCTTCTTAGTGCTGTGCTTTAACCCACTGCACCACCAGGGAGGGCCCAGAAAAGTGAAGAGTTTTAATGCAAAGTAATTAATGCAAGTAATGACATTACTCATAGCAAAGTGTTCCCATTATAGCAATTCCAGTGAAAAATAACCATTAGGCTGCTGGGGTCTTGGCCATTTGATTTTTGAGGGGAAGTGTAAGATATCTGGGATTTTGTAGAAATGGGACAGAGAGAAGTCAACATGGCTGTAAGATTCATCTCGATTAAAGAAGGAAGAAGAAAATGTTAAAAGGCCCCATCTGCCTAATCAGTTTCCTTTAAAGGGCTTCCCAGAAGCCTCATTCTGTGCTCTTGGTCTCCATGGCATTGTCATCCTATCTTCAAAGGCTGCTGGGAAATGTCGTAGTCTAGCCAGACACGTTGTTGGCCCAGAAATGTTAGTATTCTATGAATTGAATAAAGGGAAGAAAGCTAGCGAGTAGGTGACTAGAACCTTACGCCACTCTAGTCTGAAAAGGAGTCCCAGTGATAGAGAGAACCAGGGGGCTGGTAGAGAGAACACTAGGGTCCAGTAAGCATTAGTATCTATTAGTGTCAGATAGAGATGTTGGGGTTCTAGATGATGTGTCTGTTTAAAGCATGAGCCAAACTTAGCTGGAGAACAAAGGGGAAAGCTGTTAAGAACCCAGAAATTCTAAGACTTCCTAACAAGTGGACTGAATTTGATGGCTAAACAAAGATTCTGATGTCAGGAAAGCACAGCAAAAGCACAATCCCAGAAAGAAAGTTAAGAGTTAAAGAATGATTTGCAACAGAAGCAATGGGAGCAGGACTGGGAAGACAAATGAGTACACTTCTCGACTAGTTGATGGGAAGGGTGAGGGCCCCACTGGGTGGTCCTTGTCCTACCAGTTTCAACCACTGTGACTGTGGTGAAGCAGGGTTAAGGCTAATAAAAAATATTCTAAGCAGACTTTCTCTAATCAAATACGAACCATCGAAATGGATGTGTTCGATGTGATTGAGGCTCAAAGTGAGGCAAACTTTAGCGTTAAACAAGATAAGACAACATTGACATTTTTATTTTTAAAAAAAAAAAAAGATTTATGTATTGATGCTCACAAAACTGGGGTACAGGCCAAAGGTGTGAGAGGATTTATCAGAGATAGAGTGGGGAGCAGAACAGGCCAACTGATGAAGTACACTGCTGAGGAGAGCAGCGGGTGGGTCAGGAGAGGTCTGCTGTGCCATGTGGGTCTCCTCCCTGGCTAAGGATTGCACTCACGCTACAGTGGCTTCAGAAAACTTCATGATGCGGTGCTTAACCCATTGTGCCTCCAGAGAGAGCCAACATAGACCTTTTTAAATCATAAGCCTTGTCCGTAGGCCCTTCCTGTTATAGGGCACCTCAATTCAGAGAGGCATTCCTGAAGCCCCAAAACCTGCCTGTTCTAAGTGGGTTCTGCCATCCGCCGCAACAAGACAAAACATATAAAGCTTTAATGAAAAGTGACTTTAATACAGTGAATATACAATATGGAATACAAAGAATGTAACTTCTAAAACACCTGAAGTTACCCATCCCCTCCTGGGCAAAAGTCAACCCAAAAGGGATTGGCCCAAAGCAAAGCCTGAAAGCCTGCCACAAGACTAAAGCACCTTCTGGCCGGGACCCATGGAAAAGGGTCAGAAATGGCCAGACAAATCTGAGAGGAAAAGAGCAAAATCAAAATCAATATAAACACTGCCATAGTCACCTCCCTACAGGTATCTCACCCACATCTGCCTTAACCAGTCCAGGGTCAGGAAACAAGCCCGGTCTCTTCATCTCATGTTTGCTGCTCCATGTGGCTTCCTTAGGTCTCCTTCTCCATCTGCCTTCTTCTCTCTTCTCTCTCCTTTTTCCCTGCTCAGTTCCACCCTCCTTCTGGGTGGGGCAGGGAACCTGGAACTTCCCTTCTCCTAGGGACCACCCAGTTACATTCCCCTCCTCTCATCCATATACACCCTTGTTCCATACCTACATCACCTTGTCTCCAGAGTGCCTGCCTGTCTCCAGGACATGAGATATGCAGGGGTCACCCCCCCAACCGCTGCTCCCCTATTCCAGCCACGTACTGCCTCTGGTGGCTTTTAGATGTCAAGGTCCAGCCAACTTCCTCTTCTCTTCCCCACATGAGTAGCTGCATTGCCACCAAGTGAGCCCAAGGGAAAGGCAGGCTCCGCCATGCCAGCTCTTGCAGTGACTCAAAAAGGATGTCTTTCTCAGCTCTTTCTAATTGTTCTCAGTGCACAGTCCCTGAGATGGAAGCGATGAAGACTGTGTGCCAGAGTCTCCGAGAGCATCTATTGGAAATTGAAGAACACCTTACAGGACAGCAGGCGCTCTTTTCCAGGGACATGACTGAGGAGGAAAGGTAATTATGTAGGGGAGCCATAAAAGTAAGTACAGCCACACACCTGGAGCAAAGAACAGTAATCAGGGCAGGACACATGAGCGCCAGGGAGCAGGGCTAATGAGAGCTTGGCCTGCGTTTCCCCTGCTTGCATGCTCTTGTTCTTGCTTTCTCAGTGGGTGTCTGGGAGAGCTGTTTACTAGACAGCAGCATTTGCTCTTTTAGGCCAGGACGATTTGAGGTCAGAAGGTGGGCTGCAGGGAGGGGTCAGCCAGCGGGATATCTTCCATCAATGCAGAAGAAATCTGTTTCATGCAAATGCAAATGTTGGAGGTAGTTAGAGTTTTGAAAATCTGCATTATTTGCAAGGGATTAAAAATGTAGATTCTGAAAAGTAGATTCATTGCTGCCTGAGGCCTGAGGGGTAAAGGAATGAGATTTACCATGAAGGGACAGAAAGTTCTTCCTGGAGAGAGAGAGAGCTCCCAAACTGCATGGTGGTGATAGTTACACTGCTTGGCAAATTTCTTAAAAGTCATTGAGTTGAACTCTTAAAATTGATGCTGCGTAAATTATTTTGCAAGAGAGTTGTTTAAAAAAAATTTTTTTTTAAAAAGGAGCCCCGCTTTAGTTATATACCTGTGTGTCAGCAACGGGTACAACTAAAGATCTTTTCTGTTAAGACATATGAAAAAGCGACCTACATTTGAGACATTGGAAGACTGTACTTGCAAGTGATTGTAAAATTTGACTTTTCTATTATTTACCTGCAGGATTGAAGCCCAGCAACTGCAAACCTTACGGGAGGCCCTGAGGCAGCAGATGGAGGAGCTAGAGTTTCAACTGGGAGATCGGGCGCGGCAGATCAGAGAAAGCATTCTGTTAGTACGGGAGGTGAGTGGCAGAATTTGACCCAGTCCACCATAAAAGAGGTCCATTAAATGAGAAGCTTCACTGTGCAGTCAGTTCAGATTCTCAGAGTATGTGTCAATACCTTCATCTTAAGTAGAACAAAGTTGAAGCCAGAGCCTATGCATTGATCAAGGTCACAGGCTAGTTGATGACAATTCAGGATTCGAACTCAAGTCAACTAACTCATATACTAGTTTTTCCTTCTACCCTGTAAATAAGAGATAAGTATTACTAGTTCATTTTCCACATGAAAACAAGAAGCTCCACTTTTGAGCTAATATGGGCTCAGTTAGCACTACAAGCTCACAGACCAATTCCAGAAAATTCCTCACCCGTAAATGTCTTCCCCACAAGTCTGACTTAGCTGTCTGAGGCAAATATGGTAAGTCACCCACTCTTGTTCGTGTTTCCCTTTTAGCAGTTTGAGCTTCTCACAGGGAAAACACCTGAACACTATCCAAATCCACCTCAACTGAACTGGACAGGAAACAAGAATGGTCCATCTGCGTTTCCTCCGGATGACAGCCAGCAGGCTCCCTGCTCGGATGTGACCTGCATGACTCACTTTCCCCCTTCAGTCTTGGGGAACAGCCGCAGGATGTTTCCTTCAGCTCAGGCTGAGTCCGACCCAACCCTTTTGTCAAACTGTCCTATTGGAGGAAAGGAGATGAATGTCTTCCTCTAACTCAGAATGGATTGATGACCTTTCTGCAAAATATAAGAGCACATTCTTGCCAGAGCAAGGAAATTTAAATTGTCTTCAGTGAGTGTCTGTCATCAGCTATTTTTTAAAATATCCTACTCTGTGGTTAAAACCAGGGAGAACTAAGAGCACATTCATGTTCATTTACTAAAGAAGAGGTAAGCACCTATTATGTGCCTGGCACAGGGAATATTTGGTAGCCGACACGGACAGATAGACTGGTATAGATTCAGGCTCAAGGTATAGAAGATATACAATCTTTGCTCCACTGAGGCATATGCCCTACTAAGGGAGAGCGAATGTAAACACATAAATATGTACAAATTTCAGAAACTGTGAAAGCTTGGAAAGAAATAACAAGGTTTAATGGAAAAGAATATAGGAGGGGCCTGGTTTGCTCAGGGTTTCAAGAAGACCTGACTGAGAGAGTGGCAACAGAGTGAGCAGAGAAGATCGAGGCCTTGATGTTACCAGACTACCAGTCTGCGGGACCCCCAAAGTATAGATAACACTCCTACCATGTGTCAGGAATGTTAGGAATCGCCTGATGCTAGAAAGAGCTATAAACAAGACAGAAAGAATTTCTACCCATGTACACTGGACAAAGAGTAAGGAAAAGAATGTTAATTAATAATAAATACATGTAATTTTAATACTGAAAGGTGTCATGGAGACAATGGTGTGATGCCACTGTGATGGGTGAGGTTGGCTGAAACTCTTAGACCACTGGTCAGGTGAAGGCCTTGTCTAAGGGGAGCCATTGGATAAGACTGAATGATGAGGAAGAGGAAACCATGCCAAATTTCATTCTAGAAATGGAAAGTGTAAAGGTCTTGAGACAGAAATAGTTGTGCCAGAGCACTGGACTGTGGAGGAGAGGAAGTTCAAGAGATGGGTTGCCTGTCACTGAAGGTGGGTGTCTGAGTGCTCAGGTCTTTATCCATGAGTGTGGAAGGCCATGGCAGTTTTTAAACAAGGTTATCACTGAATCCAGGTTACACCTTCTTCCCCTAGAATTAGTCCATTATCCCATCACTACCAAGTCTACTGCCACAAAGTAGTTCCCAGAAGTATATTCAGAAATGATCGCCCAGTAGTGGTATAGCTGAGGGGTCTCCTGACTGCTTCCAGATTCCTTCTCCCTGAACTACACCGGCCTTCTCAGATCCCTTTCCCTAGCCTCATGCATGCGCCAGGTAACACTTGAGGACTCACGCGAGAGTCACAGGCTCATAATTCCCAGGATGGTTTGGGGTGGTCCCTAGACTGTGGCCTGGGGTTACTGTGCCCTCCCCTTCTTGTCCCATTGCCGCGGTCCCTCTTTACCACCCTTTTCTGACTCTTACTCCTGGCTCAGCTTCCACCCCAACTTGGCTCCTGGTATTTTGCATTTGCACCCCCCAACAGTGCTTCCCTTCTAAACGCCCTAAGTCCTTCACGTGGGTCAGACTGTCGACCTCCATTTCTCCAATGTCAACTTTCCCATGGCTTCTGCCTTCCTCCTTCCTCATAACACCTAGTGAAGAAAGAGGAACACTTGGCGGTGGGCCCACCCCAAATTCACAGCCATCTACTTCACAAGTCTCTTATCATATTTTGTCTCAGCTGAATCTTAAGTGCTTTTACCTAAACCACCTCTTGCTTTCCTGCTCTTTTTCCTTCACTAAATAGGCATGAAATATATCTCCACTAAGGCCTGGGTCTGACCCCACTGCCTGAAGAGGCATTTTGTGCCTTTATAGGGATACTTAATACCTCCTGCCTGTTATCTGGTGTTACTCTGGGTGTAGGTCATATTTGCTTCATTAAACTTAAAGCCACTTGAGTGCTGGATAACACCCTTTACCTTTGTTTTTGAGAGACTGTCAGGATGAAAGTTTATGTTCCCACATTTGCCCTTGGGCCTTTGCTCTTCACACCCTGGTTTCTTCCTCTGTAAAACAAGGGTAAATCAAAGCAACATAAGTTGTTGGACAGAATAAGTGCAGTAAATCACCCACAGTGTTTAACCCACTATCCATGATACAGTAAGTGCTCAATGCAGATCAGCTATTACTATGAATGCACACACCAAGAACTCAATAAATGAAAGTTGGTATTATGACTTTCCTTCTAATAAGAAGTGTTCCTTTATCAAAGTATTTTAGACCTGAAGAATACTAGCAAAAGCTGAATGACCACATTGGGCAACACTTAGTGGCAGTTTCAGGGGACAGCAAAAGAATCTACAGTAGCTGTGGTGTTATAGGACAGCAAATCTGTTCCAGGACAGGGGGAGAGGGGCACCCCTGAAGCCCCAAACCTGCCTTCTCTAAGTGAGTTCTGCCATCCGCCGCGTCAAGACAAAACATATAAAACTTTAATGAAAAGGGACTTTAATACAGTGAATATACAATACGGAACACAAAGAATATAACTTCTAAATCAAACACCTGAAGTTACATCCCCTCGTGGGCAAAAGTCAACCCAAAAGGGATTGGCCCAAAGCAAGGCCTGAAAGCCCGCCACAAGGCTAAAGCACCATCTGGCCGGGACCCATGGAAAAGGGTCAGAAATGGCCAGACAAGCCTGGGAGGAAAAGAGCAAAATCAAAATCAATATAAACACTGCCATAGTCACCTCCCTACAGGGATCTCACCCACATCTGCCTTAACTATTCCAGGGTCAGGAAACAAGCACGGTTTCTTCCTCACATGCTTGCTGCGCCATGTGGCTTCCTCAGGTCTCCTTCTGGCTCTCCATCCCGCTTCATTCTCTTCTTCTCTGATTCCTTCTCTTCTCTCTTTTTTCTCTGCTCAGCTCCACCCTCCTTCTGGGTGGGGCAGGGAACCTGGAACTTCCCCTTTTCCTGGGGACCACCCTGTTACAGTGGCACTCACTATTTTAGGTTGTAGCAGCAGTAAGTCATGTTTTGAAAGGAGGTACGTTGTGGATGGTTTTGATAACCAGGTGAGTGACTTCAGGTGTTGGAGAAGGGACAAGCACTGCCTTCAGGTGAGGTGCCCAACAAACAGCAATTTTTTTTCTGTTTTGTTTTGTTTTGCTGCTAATTCAAAAAAAAAAAAAAAAGCCAAATGTAAAACCAAGAGGCTGTGCCCCTCACCCAGAACCTTTGCTGCCTTCAGCCCATGATGAGGTGATTGTCAGTTCATCTACCCAATGGCTCTCAGTCTTGAAGTTCCTTTAGACTCACTAGAAAGCTTTAAATCTGACTAAATTTGGACAAACAGTACTTGGAAACTCAAGTCACATAAAATCCTTGGTTTTGTTATGCATGAATGAAGACATTGGGTGCATGATAAAGACAAAAATATAAAACCATGAAATTTTCTCTGAAGCACAGCATATGTATAGACCATGTAGATTTGTGTAAAAAAATTCATTTTTTAGCCCATAGAACGCCATTCCCCAGAACAGTGTCCCATTAGATTTTGTTTGTCGAACAGATATTCCCTTACATGTGGATTTGTGTCTGCAGGGCAAGAATTATTTTTGTTCAAAAGGAAATAATTCTGCTGAAGAGGGAAAAATAAAATCAAAAGCCTTTCTAATGATATAAGAGTCTGGTCTATTGTAACTGTTTTTCCTTTGTTGGGAAAGTAATTCTCTACTGTGGTGTAACAAGTTAAATAAAATAGACTGTAAAGAGGTTAAAGACAAAAGTAATTTACTTTGGAGAAGAAAAAGTTTCAGCACGTTTTACTATGAGACAGTGGGTTGCATACCTGATTACAAAGTGTAATTCAAACATCAAAGAACATTCATCATTTGCAATAATTGTAAGCTATTTTGAACGATGTCAACTTGCCTTGAAAACTAAGAGACTAGGAACAGAATCCAAAATCTGGACACTTTACCTACAATATGATTTCTTATCAATAAAAGCAGGTGGAAGATTTTTTTCCTCTGGGATAACAGCAAGAACTCAGTGTTGCCCAACCTCAGTAATCCCCTCTAGCATTCAGAGTTAAACCTTCTCTTTTTCATTCACCAGGACCATAGATGTGAAAGAAAACATTTCCTAAATGCATCTTCATTTTCTTCATCCATATTATCAATATCAAATTCAATAATTGCTTATTTGCCAATGACAGTTTTTCAAAGTCATATTTTCCATTTGTTAAAATAAAGTAATTGGAAGATATTTAGTAAGTGTATAGCTTACATGATTTAAGAAATACAGGTGTCCAGCATTTTCTCTTCCCAAAGTCAAGTATTTATCCATTTTATAAAAAGCATCTTTCTACTTGGTATCATCTGTCATCTATGGAAATATACTGTGAATAAAATAAAATTATTTACTTTTATTTTAGATTACCCATTAACATAATTTTCTAACCTAATGAAAACTGGTGAGCCCTGTGACTTTAAATTGCTTTAATGGAGCCCTCCTTGGTGATGCAGTGGGTTAAAGCACAGCACTATAAAGCTATCGAAGCCACTGCAACACGAATTCGATCTCTGGCCAGGGGGCCAGGGAGGTGACCCACATGGCGTGGCAGACCTCTCCTGTCTCTCCCGCTGCTCCCCTCAGCAGTGTACTTTGTTGTTCTATCTGTTCTACTCCCCACTCTGTCTCTGGTGAATCCTTTCACCTCCTGTACCTCTGGCCTGTTCCCCAGTTCTATTAGCATAAATAAATAAATATATTTTTTAAATAAATAAAAATAAATTGCTCTAATGATCACATTAATCCTGAGGCATTGTTCAGCTCCTGAACTCATTCCTGCCCAATCTCACCACTTATTTTACCTGTTGCACAGAGCTCCAGGTTATACCAGCCACTTGGAGAGGAGCCTCCAGACCTAGGGAGTATAAGTGGTACACTAGAATATTTGTTAGACTCTTGGTCACTTTAATTGAACCTTTTGTGTTTTGTTTCAGAAAACAAATCCTTACCATTTAGTGAGTCTGGGTAAACATAAAGCCATTTTCACTTTCTCTTAAAACTCTTGAAACAGAGTTGTTCTTCGAAATTTAGA